GGAGAATTTAGCTGACACTTGAAGAATGCTTGGGAAACCAGGAGATAAAGATGAGGAGGGACAGCCAGTGAAAATATATGAAGTTAAAAGATTGAGTGTCTTGGGTGAGGTACAGCAAGGAGGCCAGTGTCAGCAGATAATGGAGTTTGTGGGGGTGAGTAAAGTGTGAGAATATTGGAAGGAGGAGAAGCAGGTGGGGAAGGACTTTGAACACCGGAGGATTTTATATTTGATTCTAGAGGTGGCAATTCAGGTCACTGCCATCAAAAATTATGGAATCAATTTATATTGATATAGATTATACAAATAAATTATGTAAATTGTTACATTATCACAGGCTGTAAAAATTTAGCACCTATCAAAGACATGACCTAAAAATTACAAATCAGAAGCTTACCATCTTTCATGGACTAACAGACAAAATTTCTGGGGGAAAAAAACCCCCAATAAATTTAACTGGAACTAGACCATTATCACAGATCAAAATGCTACCTACAGTTGCCCAGATATAACACTGATCCATAAAAACTTAAGAATAGTATTTTACATAAATGTTCCCATTCCAAACAGACAGCAGTGGCTAGAGCTGCACAACAGTTAACAATAGTTAATAAACACAAGAACTCCAGATATCCTTTCTCTACCTGCTCAGGAACATTTGGTCAACTAATTTTATCTTTAGAAAATAAAATGAGAAAATATAACAAAAACCTCACAAACAGAAGTGAAACAGGACTCACTAGCACATGCACTGGTAATTCTCTAAAAGCATATGTGGGCAATAATAATAATAATAATAATAATAATAACAGCACTGTCAACCTTGTGGATTCACATATTTCATTTTATGAAGTATGATCTCATTTCTAGGTAGATTCCAGGTTTCCAGGACAGACTCATGAAATTCTTACTCTAGAAAAGCTGCCAGTGTATGGCACAATCCAGGCACTTAAAAATTTGTTTATTGTTTATTGACTGAATAACAATTTAAATAAATAGCACAAAGAAGTAGATGGACAAATCTGAAATTCACACTTGTAGGTCACCCACAATTACCTAGACATAACATCAAAATTTAATCTTTTAATACATATCTCCATACCAAATAAATATTTATGATCTCCAAACTATGTGGAATGAAAAGATTTTAAAATATAGAGACCTAATAGCAATCAAAACCATGTTGAAATACAGTGAGGTACCTATCATCTCCATTGTTCTGTCTACTATTGGAGTTGAATGGAAGATGCTTTCATTGAGACTTAAAAAGAGCTTAGGTCCTAAAACATTTGCTCAGTTGCAAAGAGTCATTATTTCATGAACCTATGCACAGAACATTAAATAGAAAAGAATAGCAGTATATTGAGTTATCCCAGGACCATCACTATCTGAACTCCACCCCCAAAGATGACAATGAGATAACATAAAAATAAATAATACATTCCTGGCTTTTTATTTGTGGGTCATTTGCTTTTTGCACAAATTCCTAATCCCAAGGTTTCTCCCTGTCATCCAGCACCCTTCTAAACGGTTTTCCTCTCATGTCAGTTTGTATGTGCTCAGAGAATGCTAATTTATTATTTATACATATTTTGGAATATGTAATACTCCAAGTAATACATAATTTGGAAAAGTAAATCGGTTGCTAAAACATCATATACAATGTATCCCAAGTGTTCTTATGGTCACAAATAAAAATGACATTTGGATTATCAGTGGTTTTGAATTATTCAAATCATTGTCTCCATTAGCAGATAAATTCAAATTGCCGATAATGCTAAATAACTTTAGCCAACAGATGAAGGAATATTTGGTTTTGTTTTTCAATTCACTGGAATTAGAATTTCCAAGCCCAGCTTTGAGATACCTGGGGAAAGCTTCAGTTATCTCAAGGGAAATAATAAACTATTCTAAATACTCTGAAAGCAAAATTATTTCTCTTTAGTTAAAATATATACATACACGCACATGCACATATATGACATACAGAACTTTCAGTGGAGTCAGAAAATGAATAAAGCTGAATGCTGTAGCTACAAAATGGAATCATAGCATGGACTATGCCTACTTTGCTCATCAGTTAGGCCCCTCAGATCATACTTGAAAATTTAAATACTTTTTTCTGGGAGAAAAACCATGTAAAAAGGATTATTGGTCTGTTGTTGTGTTTTTAAAGACTGCATCTTCCTATCTTGGCCAGGCTGGAAATATAGGGGCTAGCTGATCTCTCTACTGATGAGTTAAAAGTTTTGACCTGCCTGGGCCACACAGCCTCTCCTTATGCAAGCGGGTTGCTCCCCTCCTCCCAAGGGGCTCACCATATTGATATTGGACTTAGTATAGACAACCAATTGATTTAGCCCACACCAAAGCCCCAGACACCTAGCAGTCTCAGCCTCTCCAGTAGCTGGGATTATTGTCTAGCTGATTATTCAGATATTAAATGAATGAAGACACTAATATTTATGGCCATGATTTTTTCTCTTCTACATTTTTTATTTCTTTAAAGCACCATCTGTTCTTCAAAGTGACATTTGCCAAACTATGAATGAGCATACAATAATCCAAAATCTTTTGTCCAGTATACCTAGAGCTCTCTCTAGCCCCAAAGTGGCTCTGTTGTTTTTTAAGTACTTGGTTTTCATTTTTAACAAAAGCTGGTTATTATAAAAAATGTTTTTAATTACGTGAAATGTTTATCAAGTTGGAGTTGAGATTTGCCCAAAGGAGAGGCAGAAGAAAGTGAAGATAACTTGAACACATTAAAAAACGAGTAATTATTCAGAAGTAACTAGGTGGGGCAGTAGATTGAGTGCCAGGCCTGTAGTCAGGAAGACTCATCTTCCAGAAGTTCAAATCTGGCCTCAGACACTTACTAGCTTGTGTAACTCTGGGCAAGTCATTTAATCCTGTTTGCCTCAGCTTCCTTATTTGTAAAGTGAACTGGAGAAAGAAATGGCAAACCACTCTAGCATCTTCACCAACAAAACTCCAAATGGGGTCACGAAGAGTAAAACACAACTGAAGCGACTGAGCAATAACAATAAGAAGTATAAAAGATTTCTTCAGGCTACATACATGTAAGACAAGTCTCACATGATTCTGGAACCTTGTAGAGTGTTTCAAGTAATCAAAGTCATGCAAGCATAGCTCAAAGCACCTTGCGGTATATTTTCTATCAACAGACGAAAAGCCATGAATCAAATGGCAAAGATTTCAATGAATACAAAATAGCAAAATAAATAACAAGGAAAGATCCCTCCATATACAAGGACGTATAATTTCCCATAGATTCCCATACCACTGGTGGGAGAAGGAATACTCTTTAGATGACTCAATACGCTAGAGGTGCATACCAGCTGGAACACTGTCTCCGACTGATGGTGTCTTTCTGCTCCTCTGCTTCTCTCCCACAGCAGCAACTGACTGCTGTTTTTATGGCTTCACACTGATGCTTCTCTACAGAGCTACTACAGTCATCTCTTGCTGGGATTCTCTCCATTGAGCTAGCTGTGGCCATCTGGAGAAGCACTCTTCTACCTCAAAGGAAGTATTATCACTCTTTATGAGACTACCCAGTCAAAATACGTAGATCTAATCAACAGAGCTCTTTTGTGAAGGAAAACCAGTCAAACCCAGGTGGCCAGGAAAGAGCGTCTCTGATCCAGATCAGTCTAGTTTTCTTACTCTGCTCTCAGGGAATTTCTCAAAGAGGATTGATATTTAGGTTAGGGTAGATCCTTATCTCCTTTCAGGTCTTTGCTTCCTTTTGCATATCATTTTCCCCTGTTAAATAGTAAGTTCTTTGAGGGCAGGGACCATCTTTTGTCTTTCTTTGTATTCCCAGTGCTTAGCACAATGCCTGGCACATGTTGTTTAGTCGTTTTCAGTCATGTCCAACTCTTCACAACCTGGCACATAAGAAGTACTTAATAAGTATGAATATCGTGCTAATATAATATTAAAAATACAATACATCAGTGAGTTGGGAACTTGGATCGAGTCACCAGGCTTGTGAGTGGAGCCATAGGGCAATGTAAATGGTCATATTTTGTCTAATAGCAATGGAAATATTAACATGATTTGAATATTGATTCAAGAGTAAGAGTTACAGAGAGCAGGAGTTGTTGAAAGGCAGTCAGAGGGGAAAGTTGATGGCAATACACATGTAATGACAACGTACTCATCCTCTAATCCAGGTAGCTGTGCTCTGGCAAGTAGCAAAGTTGCCAGGTTGACTAGATTAATTCCCCTGGGGTGGGGGTGGGAGGCAGAAGGTCAGGGTGAGTTACTATTTCTCCTACGGAGAGATAGACAGCAGAAGGGCAGATGGCAAGATATGTGCATGAACTGGGCTCTAGTGTTCTGGTGATGAGGCATGAATCAATCTTCACTTTGGTCCCTTTGTACTAATCAGCCCCAAGGCCTCATCCTATTTAATCATCAACTAGGATATTAGGACCTAGAAAGAAGTAGCATCTTACTATTTCTCCTGTTCAGTCTACTATTTCCCAAAAGGAATAATAACCATTGGGAACAAGACTTAAGAAGACCAAACTGGGAGAAGTACAGTTGTAAGTCAGGTTAGTAAAGATTTATTTTATGAAATATGGTAGAGAAATTCCTAGGATCTTTGAAGTGCAATACATAATGCCTACAGTGTTTATCTTGAGCCATGAACTATGAAATTGTTAAAAAGAAACTATTAATAACTGAAAAAGTATCAAGTAATATTTGAAAGCCCCTGGAGGATTCTATAACCGCTATAATGCTTCACTCATATAAGAATATAATGATGTACAAAGAGCTACTTGTCAATCTTGATTTACATTTTCCCATGGTAAATAGTATCCATTTTTTTAACTATAAGTTTTACTTTCAAACTGGAATAATAGAGTATTTTCTGATATTTTGATGACCTCCACAGGAAAAAAAAAAGGTTTTTAATTGCTTTGCCCAAGTGCTATTTTTAACAGTATTGTTTTCAGTGGAAAAAAAAATTGGAAATAATTTTGTATTTATTTGTTTTGGTACCTCATTAAGTGAACAAGAAGGTGAACTTTACATTTTTTCTATTATAAAAGTTTTTTTTTAAACTCAAATTGGCAGTAATAACTTTTATCTAACTTGTTCTCATTTCAGCTGTGGAAAACTTCTGGGCCTGATAAAAATTATTTTCAGAAACTGTTAACTGACCAATGCAAGACTATTTGAAACACATATGGAATGCTGTAATAAAATATGAGATAGTTCATATACAACTTCAAAAACAGTAATCACAGAACATGGATGTTTTAATGAATTTCAAATTTCAATGAAGACACTAAACACTTAAAAAAACAATCAGCACAGTAAAAGTAAATAAAAAACAAGTAGATTCATACAACACTTAGAAATACATATTTCTTCCAAAAGAAATTTGTATTCACAGATTTACGCAGCAAATGTTTTACATCAGATTCCAAAATACGTACAGATTTTGAATCTGTAAAAAAAGGGATATGCACTGGTAGAGAAAAAGAAAGCCACATAAGACCACTGCCTTGCCTAACAATGTATCTTCTGTGAAATTCTGCACCAATACGTATTTTTCCCTTATATACTTTCCTCCATTATTAAATGAAATTCTGGACATGTCTGCATTCAGCATGAAACAGTTTGCTCTTCAAACACTATTTCAAATGGTACTATGAGTGGCTAGAAACATGACTTAATTTCAACCCCCCAAAATTCATTATCACCAACTGCCGACCTGACTTGCTGGAAATAACATTTATGGCCACAAATAGATATTATATAAAATTAAGTTAAAAGATGATACAGTGGTTAATGGTGTAAGTATTAGCCTGCTCCTGAGAACTCAGCTCTAGCACCTTGAGGATTTACTTTACTCCCAATGAAAATGAGTATGTATACTCATTTCTGGGGTCAGAGATTGGCCCCTCTAGTTTGTGGTAAAAGTAAGCAGCCACTGGCAGTGATGGATACTAGTCTGCATAGATCTGAATGGCCTTCATGTCATGTATTTTAATCTAAAGACTTCAAAAACATTAAGCAAAAACAGGCTAAAACTTGGTTTGTAAAGACTGAATCAGTTATTTGTGTGTATATATTGATGTATGAATGTATGCATATGTATAATATATACACATATCTGTAAAATGCATATTTATATTTCCAGCAGTGATTCCAAAATATCTGAATTTCCAAATTAAAAGAAATCAAGTCAATAAATCTATCTCTGTAATTGAGCATTCAAGAGCAAGTTAATAATACTCAGGCCTTTGAATATACAAGAAAGGGGCCAGGAAATGGTATTTTGAATATCAATTTTCCAAAAGTTAATGCATAACAGGGTAAAAATAAGTCATAGCAAATGCCTCAACAGAATCAAGGCATTATGGCAAATTGTTCTTCAGAAAGCAGTAGCTGAAACCTGGAGCGCTTTTATTTACTATAGTGGCAACTAACTCTGGAATCCCCAAACTGTATTTGAGTTAATAAAAATTATCAAATTTGAAAACACATCAAAGCCTTCTGAGTTTCAAAGAAAAATTTACTGCAATAATGTTTATTTACTTCTTATCACTTCATCAAAAAACCCCAGCTTTCTACAATATTATTCTTTTGTTGTTTTAACTTTTAACTCACTCTTTTTAGGAGTTCCCTCCTTATTTTCTTCCGATTCCTGAATAAACCAATGAATGTTAATCAACCCCTGCAAAATTATTCTAAATGCACAAAAATCTAACTCTGTTAAGTTCAGCTACTGTTCTATATATTGTGTCAAAAAATGGCGCATTCTTTTCACTCATGATAAGCTCTTTTGAAGAGCCTTCTATTTCCAATTAGCTCCACACCTTACTGAATGGGTATATCAGTTATAAACTGTGAACCACCCTCCCACATCACCTAAAAATAAGGGAGAAAACCATGAATAAAAGAAAAATGGCTGTCCAAATGTGAAGGGCAGTATACCAAGATCCCTTTTTTAAGCAAGGCTGCAGGTCAATAAGAAATAATACTTATAAATTTTAGTACGACATTCTGATCTCAAAGAAGCCAAGAGTAATAGGATCACTCACTCTGCAATATGGTAAGGTACTGCAATAGCTCTAGTCTCAGCTACTAGTCTGAGAAAAAAGAATCTTCCAAACTTACAAATATCTTCCTGTGTTATAACCTTATCAAACCAATAGCAAATTGTTTATATTCAAGATACATTTGGTGTGATTGTCTTCTTCCCTTATGATTTTAATTCAATATTCCAGCTATAAACCAAAAGTGCTTCAACTAGGCCACAGTGAGATTCAAAGTTTATAACATTCATTTGTGAGGTAGTACTCATGTATTCGCATTGCTGGCTCTCAAATGCCACCAGGGAAGTGGACCTATTTATAAAGATGCAAACTGAAGGTGTAGAACATAAAAAAGGTTTTGTTTTCAGGTAGGTCACCAAAAAGTAGCAAGTCCTTCTTACAAAGGTCAAGTCACAGTCATTGGATAAGTCATCTGAAACTTCTATAAACTGTTTATAACCACAGCTATAAACTAAAGTGCTTTAAATTTTGCTTCAACGTATTTCAGTGATTAGAATCCTATTTTGGAATTATTAGTTAGTGCAAGACCTTATGAAATTGAAATGACTTAATATTAACAGGGCAGAAAACACTTCTTTTTAAAAAGACACTTCCTCTGAATGTTGAGTCAACATTCCATACATACCAGAAGCTGCTAAACTTTTACTTCTCAAATCCATGCTATTTTTATAGAACTATACTCAAACTTAACATTGAAGCTTTATTACACTGAAGCACTACATATCAAAACTTCATGTAAGAAGTAAACATGAAATGTGTGACTACCAGTGAAATTTACATTAACTCAAATTCAGGCCTTCAATCTTTTCAAAGTATAGTAGATATTTATGATTTCTCTGTAAAATGCAAGAGACCACTATCTATCTGACAACGAGTATATGGATTTCACATCGACATTGAATTCACAGAAATGTAATGCCCTACTGTTCATGTATCAAATATGGAATAATTCATGAGCATTTTATGTGCTCCATAGGAAGTGAACTTCATTTCTAATGACCAATGGATGCCAGTATATAAAAGGTCAATACACAAGGCGGAAATCAAGGGAAGAAAAATGATCACACATTTTCAGTTCATTTCATGCAAACTGGGCACGATGTGGAAACAACATTTACAAAGCCCCCTTTTTAGGGTTAAATTCTCACAATAATGGCAGACCAATATGCAGAAATATCTGCATGAGTTAAAAGTCTATGGCAAAAAAACAATTGTGGAGAATCCACAGATCTTATTTTTCTTGTAGCAAAGCAGGGATGTTGATGTTCCAGCCAATGGCCTGGCGATCAAACCCACAAGTAAACAGGTTGCATATTGGATGATCTTCGCTCCAAGCTGAGCAGCACACCATTCTTCTATGGCCCTGTCATGGTCAAACAAACCAAAATTAGTGTCCAAAAAAAATCTATAAAATGGCAACCAAATTAGCATTGGGGATAGAAAGAAAAGCAGAATCATGGTCCTCACCTCCAAAGAACACCTTCTAATGAGGAAGACTATATGCAAATAATGATGTTCATCCAAAATGAGAGTGAGTGTGAGTGAGTGAGTGTGTGTGTGTGTGTGTGTGTGTGTGTGTGTGTGTGTGTGTGTGTGTGT